CTTCCTCCTGCAAGCATCTCTCCGTCTCTGCCCCTCCTCTTCCTCAGTGATGGTGAAGAGAGCGGGGATTGCTGAACGGCTGCCTCCCTTCCTCAGCTTCCGCTTGCCCTGCGTGCAGCCACTTCCACCTCCTCCTGGTTCTCGTCCTTTACTTTCTGGCATCGCCTTCCCTGTTGCTAACCCTCGAGCCTGTGGCTAACTCACCCAACCCCTGCCCATCTCACCCTGCAGTGGTAGGTGGGGGGGGGAGATGCCAGACGATGGTGGTGGACGGGGGTCACCCCTAAAAGCCTTCTTCTCAGTGAAGATGTGGACAGCTAACAGCTATTGCTAAAAGCTAAATCCACTGGATGCACATTGCTGCTCTATGTCTGAGACAACAGAAAGAAGGGAGAGGAAGAGAGAAGGAACAGGACAGGACAAAAATGGCAGGAGAGATGGAGGAAATGAAATTATCAAATGAGGTGGGTAAAGAAAAGAGTCAAGACAAACGTGCAGAGATGATGAGGGCCAGTGGAGAAACAGTCAAACAGAGCTGTTCACTGTGGCATGTCCACTCTGCCTGCGCTGGCAGTGCCAGGCATAGAGAAAGAGTGAAAGACAGAGAGAGTGCGACCGAGTCTGAGGATGAGCTCTCGTAGTCTGGCTTAGAAAAGAAGACTTAATCCAAAAGACTGGCTCGGTCGGGAGCTGGAGAAATTGCACTTCTCTTGACTTCCTCACTCCTCAAGAGATGCGGCTGCTGCTGTCACTACTGTTACTGCAGCCCCCGTCCCTCCTCGCCTCGCTATTGCTGGGCCTATTCTGTCAATGCAAACCTGTCAGAAGCATCACATCACACAGGCACTGGCTGCACAGTACACACACACACACACACACACACACACGGGTAACAGAGGGCAGCAGGGCCGTTAAAATATTCAGTGCAAATCCAGCGGTGGAAGGTGAGCCGGTAAAGGGTTTCCCTGACGACAGCAGCACATGGACCAATGACGCAGTGGGAAGCGAGAGAGCAGAGGACGGGCACACTTTAATTTAATGTACACACACACACACAACTCTGGACGCACTCCTATGCACACACCAAAGCAAACAATGCAGTACTGGAGCTGCCCCGGTGGAAGGGGTGTGTTCACAGAGCACATGGTATATGTCCCCGCCCCATTCTGCACTTAAAGAGCCATCAGCTATTTGACACACCACAGCTGTACAGCAAATATGGAAACCTTTTCATTCATAGCTTGCTGCCTCTTTACAGGAATAGCACACAGAAATATGCAGTGCATCAGTGTTTGTATCGGAGCACTGAGCAGTGCTGTTGCACAATGCTTTAACGGATCGTAAGGTGTGTTTCACTTCCATTTCATACATGGCATGTGTAAATGCACTGCGTCTGAAAGGGTGAGAAATAAAGAAAGCAAAAAGAGAACACACAGTAAGGTAGGGGCCATGGAAGGAAGAGAGAAATGATGGGGCAATAAAGTTATTGAAATCATTACAGGCCACATTACAGGAGGCCTGTCCAATAACCTGAACAAACAACCATTTGCTTGTTCAGTTATCTCACATCTTCTAAAACAAATACACACAGAGACCAAACAACCAGCACGACAGCCTGAGATCTTCATGCCACCAAGACACTGTGGCTGAAGACAGCAGGGCAACTAAAGGATTAAAGACACACACACTGACCCTCGCTTAAATGTTACAGGTGCACTTTTTCTTTTTTGATGCTAATATAGACAACATCTTGGTACAGAGTATTTACTGAAGAACACATCCGATTCTTAGACCCTTCAAATATTTATTATAAAGACTTTGTTCCTTATCTGCTTAGGGAGGACACGCTGTACAAACACACATGCCGGTATTCATGAAAGAGCAATCTGATCTTTGTCCCTGCAGGATAGAGTAATGCTGTAATCCTACACTCAGACTTAAACCGGATAGGCTAGGCTACACACCCTCCTCACACCTGTGTGTATGAGAAAGATGCAGACACAAGAACTGTTGCATGAACACTAAACATTACTAATAAATGTGAGTTTATTCTTACTTCTTAATCACCACTGTCAACAAATTAATTAAAAAAGCTTTGGCCACATGCATATTTTTAGTATTTGGAAGTGCTAATCGGTGTATCTTATAGTGAGATACAGACGTAGCTAAAAGCAAAGTCTTATCTGTGTTTCCCATGCTGGGGCCCTCAATGACGTGATGTGTAACAGTATAAAATACAACAATTCAGTTTTAGTTGTAAAGCACCAAATCGTTACAGAAGTTACCACAGGACACCTTTCAAATAATCATAACAAAATACCAAAATCTGAATCATCACAGGATGGTCCTTTCCACTTTATTGCTGCAGAAGAAGCCACACCCACTCCACGAACACATAATTCATGAGGTTATATTGCGATCCGCTGTATCGAGCATCGCTTGTTTACCCGGACAGAAGTGTACTTCTGATACGAACAGCCAGGCTCCTTCGTGCATATTCATTTTAAAGAGCAACGGCCAAACAGGAAACTGATGATGTAACTTCATCTCAAGTCTCGGACTGTCGCGTATGTAGGGCTTGGCCCACTTGTTGTGGTCCAGCCAAAAAGCGTAGTGCTTGTATTACAAATAGGGTTAACTAGTGCTGATTGCAACCCACATGAGGTGGACGAGATGACTAAACGGAGGGGATTAGGAAATATCATCATCATGGTGGTGCAGGTGAAGAGGGGCTGCAGGGAAGGCTGTCCTTCTTGCCAGTCAGGGGATGTGTGAGCAGTATACTGTTACAGTACAGGTGTAACAGTGAGCAGTTCAAGAAAAGATAGCTGTAGGCAGAACACACCAGCAGGATGAAACAAGATGTGTAAAAGTGTTTTAATCACGTAAACAAGGGCCATTTAATGAAAAGGTAAAAGATAAAGGAAAAGGCCATGCCTGAAGGGAAGGCGTGTGCAGGTAAAGTGGAATACATTCACAGCCGGTAACGTGACCAAGCTCTCGTGTGTCCTGCATTAGCAACAAGTGAGAAATCAAACAGCTGATACAGAAAGAGATATCCAAACTGGTTTTACCACAGAGTGAGAAAAGATATGCGAAGCATTGTGTGAGTGGAAGATTTGATAGAACCGCTGATAATCCCACAGGACCGTGATCACAACATCAGAGCCAGCTTCACTGTAAAAGGTGCAGTGGTGCAGCGCATTGTGAATGTTAAAGCTCACAGCAGCATGGGAATGTAAGATAAATAATGCATGTGGAGGTTGTTTATGAAGATTAAGCTAGAAACAGAACTGAAAAGCTCAAAAGCATCATGTTACAGAAAATGGATGCCAAGAGTTGGCAGCAGAGTTGAATTAGACGGGCAATATTTTTATTTACTCCATATTTCTAGAATATTTTCTGGTTTCTTTATGACAGTAAACTAAATATCTTTGGGTTGTGGACAAAACAAGACATTTAAGAACATCATGTTGAGTTTAGGAAACAGTGATCAAGGTTATTTTCTCACCACTTTCTTACATTTTATGGGCCAAACAACTAATAGATTGATCAAGAAAACGATCGACATTATGAAAATAATCCGTAGTTCCGCAGCCCTAACTGAATGTCACAAGAGATCTTCAAATCAGAAACAGCTCCCATCATGAACTAGGCTAATACATCTATATGAAAGACTCCCTGACAAAATACAATCTTAACTTTTCAACTCAAACTTTAGTTTAGTCTGCCTTTCTATAGTTATAGTGAAGATAGTTCTTACTATCAAATGTCAGAGACTTTCACTACCATAGGAAAAACATTTCAATAAAAGGTGATTAATAGTCAAAAGTTAAACAAACATTTCCCAGTCAGTAGCTCAAATGATCAAACCCCTGCAACAACAACCGACCATCTAATGGCGGAGCGTACAGTGTCAGGCTTGTTGCACTGCTCTGACAACAACCCAATGGGTGATGTCACAGCAGGTATTCTGCCATTAACAGCTAATGGACAACACCTGTTGTGCCAAAACTTGCAAATAGGTTTCCACTTTTCAAACAACAGAGAATTGTGCACCACCACTGCGCCTGCTTCTTTTTAGATTCAGTACTGAATTATAAAAAATAAAAAAAAACATATATTATTCACATTATTCTTGTTTATTTGATTTTGGCGACACCACTGGTGATAAGTGGTCAATGCTTTGATGCTTTGCTCTTGAACTGCAAGTTATTAGACTGACAGCAGCTCACACAATACCAAACACACCCATTTTATTTTGCTTTGTAGGTTTTTATATAACATATAAGGATTAAAATGACATGCCACCAGACAAAAAGGCTAATAGAAAAAGCAGCTTAAACGTAGAGTAGTGAAGCTATGAGTAGCCATTTTCAGTCCTAACATCAGTGTGATAAATGACGACAGCCGCGAAACCAGAAATTAAGTGTTTGGGCCACAGGTGTGCGGTTGTCCGGTGCTGCACTAAAGTTTTAGGAGTTAACACGCTTGTCCAGACTGTGGACATGTTTAAAAACACTTGAAAAAGTCTGAGAACAAAACTGTAGCCTGAAGACACATTATAAAGCCAGCTACTGCCACCCGAAGAACCAGCTTTCTGGTCATTTCCATGAATTCACCTGTCACGTCGGCTGAAGGAGCTCTCTTCGACGAGTTGACAAAATGTCAGCAACAGGTGTCTGTGAGCGCAGGAGGAGCTCAAAATGTCTATTAACGACTACGGTCAAACTAAAAAACAGTTATGCAGGTAGTTTAGAGGACTTGTCGAGTTTTTATTGAACGTAAAGCAACCGGTTGCGTGAGTCGGTTGATCGTTAATCCCACTCCCGTGACCGACCCGGCTCCGTGTACTTTAGTCTCTTCTGTAAGTCACCGTCAGCGGTCAAACACCAGCCGAACTGAAGACTCTGCGCTGAGCAGTGCACAAGAGTTTTAAATCACAGTTTGCCCGTGTAAAAAGTTAAATCCAGTCAACTTTTCTGTCGGTAGGAACTCACCTTGGGACTCGGGAGGAGATGCGTCGCTGCCATCCTGGTCCGCCATTTCTCCTGACGTCAGCTGAGAGGGATCAACTGCAGGAACCGGAGGGACCTGCGGGAGGGATCCTGAGACCGGCCGGGCACCCTCCCCCGGACAGGTGGGGGACGACACCGGCAGATACCTAATCTAGGAAGTGCAATAGTGTGTTAATAATCTCACGTTAGAGGCCAAATAAACTTTTCTCCCACTATTAGTCCCAGTCATTCACACATTTACTTCATATTGGGCATTAAAGGCACCTTATAACCCAATAAGTGTTACCTGGTAAAGAGTAGAATTTGTATTTATGCCTACCTAACTAAGCAGTTGGCTAATCCCTGTTTGAATAATGATACTGGTACTGCTTTAAAAAAAAGACTGCTTGATAAACTTGAGATGGGGCAAGGTG